AAAATGTCAACATGAAGGATGCTTGTTACTATTCATAAGAGTATTTACAAAGCCTACAAAGTCCAAAGCGGTAGTAAGCAAGTCTGTTCAAAGTAGACAGAACACTGACAAATATTTTCCCTTGGTAAGAAAGGGTAAGAAAGAAAAAATATTCTAAATTGTCCTTGAAGAGCTTTTAAACCTTGCTATCCTAACCAGCTGGGCCCTACACTGACAAGGTCTGCAGGGTCTATGCACAGAGTCCAAGTCAAAACACAATATTCATCTCATATTCCCCAAACTCAAGTCCTGCCCAAAGATTACAAAAAATAATTCAAACCATTACTCCGTAAACTTTTAAAGAGCCCAAATTCTACCTTGAGATATTAACAGCAACATAGGTTATCAAATTCCAGAGTTTTGACAGCACTCTTTCATATTCACTCTTTATGCCAATTTCCTATTTCTCAAGCAACGTTCAGACAGATAACCAAGTCATCTCCAATTCCAGATACAATGAATGCTCTTTGATGGAATTACAGTGTGCTCAGTGATAACTGCACAACTGTGACAAGAAAGACTTCCTGCTTCAAACTGACTTCACGCATTCTGATTCTGCACTCCGGTGAATAAGTCGGTTCTGTTTCATTCCCTCCAGAACAACAAATGCTATGAAGTGAGACTTAAGTGTACCCTAGTATTTTTATTTCTGCATGGATACCAAATTTCTGAATTAAATATTAATCAAATGACAAGAATTTAAGGTCAGAGTTCCAATTAATTAAGATCACATCTCACGCCTCCATCAAACCCAGCTTTGAGAGGCAGTATTGCAGCTGCCTTATCCCCAGGCTGGATGCTCTTGGCTTTGCAAAAGAGGTGAATTTGCATGCTTGCCAAACAGCAAGGAACTTTTCCAGGATGTGCCAATGTACTGCTCTGCCTCTCACCCTGGCCGTGGCCACCGTGTGGCTCGACTGGACATGAAGGCAAAAGGCTGCATCTCTGCCAGATTTGACAGGCTTTTTGGGAAGGGTGCTCCACATTTACTTCCAATTTCTTCACAGTTCAGATCAACAGTTTCACTGAAGTAAGAGGATCAGGACTACATATCTGCAGCCAGCACACAAGCCTCTTCAGAAAGGAAAGGTAAATGGTCTGATGACATTACCTTTAAAAAAAAAAATCATAGTAGTAGTATTTTTCCTTTATTATACCAGAATGAATATATATATATCAGGGCATAGTAACAACATTTCTTTTCAATAGGGCAACATTCTTCCTTCAAACCTATTTTATAATCGTTACAGTTACTACAGAGCCAGCTTTAAATAAAAAAAATAAAAGGTCTTAAATCATAATAAGCCAGTTTTAGCTTATGCTCATCAAGGGGGTGGGAAAGGAAAACCTACACCTCACACTTGCCAGCAGTCTAGCTCCATATTAACAGGCAGAAGAAGGAAAAGCATGAAATTCTGCTAATGAGCACCAAATTATGAGGTTGCTTAATTCTAAAAGAAGCCACCAAAGCACCATATTTTTAGAAGTCTGCCATGACAGCAGTAACTAAGCATAATCTCCAGGGCTTTGTAGCATGCCATTAAACATAATCCAGAAAGTTCTAATGAATTACAGCATTAGAAGAGTATTTTCTGCTAGACATTTTAAGACTTGATAAATTCAGAATCATTTCAAGACATAAAAATTTTGAAAGTGCAAGATACAAACAGGTAGCAAAAAACCTGAAATGCTTCAAATAAAGTTTATTAGCATCTTCCAGGAGACCCATTCAGGGAAACTATGGTACAGAATCAGCAAATCAATTAGCACAGCCATAATCAATATATTGCCATGTAAACAATGCAGATTCTCAGCCATTTGCATTTTGGATACTACAGCTCCCACTGGATAATATGAAGATGTAAGCTAGACACACTACACCAGCTCCACAGCTGGATGCTTCTTGATGTGTCTCGTCCTTAATTTCAAAGAAAACATATAGGTCTGTGAAACCCTCAAGCTGAAAACGAGGGAAGTCGTTCTAATTGCCTCTGTTGGGACAGCCGTTACTACTAAGAAAAAAAAACAAACCAGTAATGCAAGCCAGAAGGGAGCAGAATCGTCCAGAGGGGCTGAGACTGCAGACTGTCACAATGGCTGGGCCAGTGCAAGGAAGGATAAAAAAAATAAGTAAGTAGAAAGCTAAATTAGATACCCTGAAATATGAGGAGGAAAGAAAACTCAGCATGCATATGGAAAGACTACCAGAACTGCTTAGTCAGCATGTTGGGATCCTGCATATATATTGTAATGGGCATTAAAGAGACAACGAGACTTATTTTTCCTGGAAAGAGACAAATAGTACACATTCTGCAACCCAGTAAAACAAAATTATGAGCACATATATTACAGAAAAACATCTAGATAAGTAATTCCTAACATAAGTCACGTGTATTAGTTGCAAAAGTACCAAAGCAAATCCCTGGTGAACCTCAGCTCAGCACTGAGGCCTCCAAGCCAGCCAACTCTGAGCACTTGTATATCATGCAGCCAGGAACCCATCTCATATCTGCGTGAAGGCACACGGACAACCCATCAGCACTCAGGACAAGGAGGCAGCTTCTCAGACCAAAAGAATCATACAACAGCTTCGGTTGGAAAGGACCCCGAGGATCATCACGTTCCAACAGCCCTGCCACAGACAGGGTCACCAACCTCCAGATCTGGTACAAGACCAGGTCACCCAGGGCCCCATCCAACCTGGTGTCGAACTCCTGCAGGGACGGAGCATCCACAGCCTCTCTGTGCAGCCTGATCCAGCACCTCACTACTCTCTCTGTAAAGAACTTCCCTCTGACATCCAAGTAGGTGAGCAGCAGAAGTTTATTGGCTTCAGCCAACAGCCAGCCTCAAGCAGTTGCTGTCCAACAGCCTTCCATGCAGTAACCCAGACAGTGTTTGAGGAAGAGACATACGTCCATCTAAAAGGGATAGAAGTAAACTCATCTGTATCTTGAAAAAATATCTGATGATGTTTAGTACTCATTTTTTTTTCTGTGCGTATTCTGAACAAATAAGGTTATCCCTTTTAGCTGTTATCAAATACAGTCCAGGAGGCCTTGAGTCACATTACTCACCAATTGCATTCCTAACAACTGCACCTCCTAATATAGCATTCTCCAAGTCTTCTTTTTTTAAAAAAAATTAATATTGTAAATGAAGTAAATGCTTCCTCGTTTTATATTTCAGTGTTCCTAAGTACAAACAATCCAGTAAATGCAAAGTGACTACTTCAACAAGTTCATTCCCAAAGAACTTCTTTTTTTTTTTTTTTTTTTTAAAGAAAGCTAACTGCCAGGGAGTCAGGATGTATTAATTTCTCAATTCTTCCTTTGGCTCAATACATGAGTAGTGGAAAATGAAAATCCCTCCTCTTACCAACCCCAGGGAACAAAACTTCACCTACTCTCTTCCATCTCAGCTAATGCTTGCCCAACACAATGCTGACTGGGAGAAATTAAGAGGTCAGAAACTTGTCCACCATCTCTGCTGATCATGCAAAACGGTGTAAAAGCCGCAAAACGGTGTAAAAAAGTCCATCCCTTATCCTTCTTTGAAAAGAGTAACCAAAATCTTTGCTGCAATATAAGGTGATGCCATCTCAGCCCCAGCAGGAGTGGCAGCAATAACAGCATGCTGTTAAACTTGGCCTCACAAAGCCTAGCAACATCACGAGAAACAAGGTAAATTGCAACAGGCAATAAACCAGTGAAATGAACTGTTCTGAGCTGACGAGTAAAATGAACCATCACAAAACCATCCTGAGAAAAGACTGTAAAATGTTTGCTTCCCCACGCTACTGAATTACAGTACTTGCAGTTTTGCCAACAGTTACACTGACAAAAGAAAGACCTCCACTGAAAAAAAAAAATGCAAACAGGCATGAATTCACCTTACCTGAACCAGACAATACCATTGTCAGGCAGCAGAATCACCCATAGGAGATGATCTTCCTGCTTATACTGCATAGATCATGCTCCTCATTAGTAGACCTACTAGCAATTTTGACTCCTTGAGCTATGGAGGACAAAAAAATGCAACAGAAGCCACACGAAAGCAAAGATATTTGAGGTCCCTGCTTTTCAGCAAAACAGGAAAACCCAACACTTGGTTACCAAGCAGCACTAACTTCATGAATCAGCACAGAACTTGCCATGTGTGTCAGTACAGGGGGTTGCACCCCTTCTTCAAACACCTGCCCCATCAAAGCAAATTGAAAAGCAAAAAAGAACACAAAAACAGCTATGCCAAAAGAAGTAACTTCAACTCAATCAGTGTCTTTAATTTCCGTATGTCTGCACAAGGGGATCACACTGAAGAGGTAACAAGAGGAAACTGGATTTAGAAACCCTTCAGGAAATCTTCCAAGAAGCTAGTAAAGTAGCAGATCGAAAGAACAGCAGTGTGGGAACAGAAGACATCTTGCTCTTTTGCAGAAGATCATGACAATTTGTTCTTCTCTCCTAATAAAAGTGCAATATTGGATTGCAAAAGTGCTCCCTAATTAAGCTATCAAGAACAGATGTGAAGGAACAACAGTGATGGGTAGAAACCACAGCCACATTTACTAGGGATATCCATTTCACACCTCTCATGGCTTCTAGATCATTACCACATGATGGCCTACACTATGTACGACACTTGAAAGCATACGGAGCCTAATTATTTAGATGAAGTCCTTAAATGATCTTGTTCATCATGAATAGCATGTTTTCAGCAGCAAGTGGCAAAAAAGTTTCTTTAAGCCCCAGGAAAACTGGATTCCAAAACTCTTCCAAGGTATTGTCAAGATAAAAAGAAAGAATGTCCCACCACATTTCTCAAATGTTTCCTACAGCAAACTCTGCACCATGAATATGTGCATGTGCACGTACCCATGCGTAAGAGCAAGCGATATGAGCAGGAGTGACAATAGGGTATAAGAATTAAACAAGTCCATTCAGTCCTTAAAGCAGATTTACCTGAGTCTGTAATTCTTCTAATTTACGCTTCCTGGCATGCAGAGCTTTACTTGGGAAAGCCCAGAAGTAATTGGAAGTTCCGATTCTGTCAGTGTCCACCATGCCGTCATCAACTAAGCTTTGCAGAACCTCTTTGACCGACATGGAAGCTAACAGAAGCAAAAGTATGAGATTAGATCTGCATAGCACCTCCTTAGAACCACAGAGAACTATTAATATTGTAAGACATCATCTACAACCATCTGTCTGAATACTTCGGTACAGTGTTAGCTAGGAAGACGCTATGCTTGATGCGCCACTTCAAAAACAAATCCCTCTGAAATCAGTGGCTTCAACATAAAGGCTGCTGCTCCCTAGCACAGTCTGCTACAAGATGTTTGTAAACTGCTCACAACCATCATAAAACGTACATGTGCATTACAGCACAGTGTCATAACAAACTCACGAGAAGTTGTCCTGCAACCTTAACTATAATATCCATTAACCTACAATTGCTTAATTAGGAATGTAATTGCATTTCTCTTTGCAGCGCTTACCAAAGCATTAAATAGCAGCAGGGGCATGAAGGCCACCTCCCTACTGGCTCACAAGGGGTAGATTTGACATTTGGTTACATTCAGTTCCAATACAGAAAGTACTTGTAACATCAGATATGTGTAATAACTGTTTCTTCATTTTCTACCAAACATGGGTACAGTCCAGCATTTAAAAAAATACACCAGTTCAACAAGCAAAGGATTAGATAGAATCATCCACAAGCATGGCAAATTTAAATACCTTCAAGATATGAGTTTTCAGTGTCTGACATCCAATTTCAAGCCTAAAGGAGATCCCTGACCTGAAACACCCCATCTTCTGGAAGATATAGGCTGGACGCCAGTGTAGAGGTACTTCCATAGACTGAGTTTTTCTTTCCAGAAGAACCCAGACTCTACTGATGTAGCTAAATGCTCGTTCCCATACATTCATACATTCCCAGGCAGGATGAATCTGGACTCTTCAAAGGTACAAATGGTGTTAGAAACTCCATCTATTAAAACATGAAATTCCTTTGCTTCCATTGTTTTGCATTTTTTTCCTACAAATTGCAACTAAATGTATGCAAGAGGTATTTGGACAAACCAATCAAGACAGCATCATAGCTCTGGAGATGATGTTCAGCATCTCTGCAGGCTGCTGACATAACCTGAATCTTTCAACATGCCCATGTTTTTTTCCACAAACTTGTGTATTCCTTACTGTCATAGTGCCACGATGACATGCTCATCAAGGACAGTGGCAACTGCACAAACACTGCACAAACACAAAGGAAAACAGAATGAAGAACACACAATGCAACTCAACAGTGTGAAGATAAATCATCTTAGACCTAATCCAAAACCAGTGGATTTTTTTTTTCTTTCACTGAAAAGACTTCTCCTTTATCCAGCCATTCTGTTCTTCAGCAGAACAATGGAATTTTATGATATGTGTGACATTACAGGCATATCTGCGTATCCCCTATTCTCTGAGTACACACAATGATTTCACAGAATGAGAGCTCCTGGAAGGTAAGCCTCAGAACCTGTGAAAAATTCCATCCCAAGTTTTAGTGGTTAACTTGAAGTTTGTTGTGACATGTCAGCAATCTCTCATTTTAGCAGTGCCATCGTATTTGAGTGACAAACATGAGCAAATTGAAATAGGAATATTCTCTTGATGTTACTGTTTATGCTGTGTTCCCGCTATTGGCCACTGTATGCCATTCTAATTATTTTTCCCCTTACTATTAAAATCACAAGCCTATAATTTTATAGGCAGGAAAATTTATACTGTTTGACTGGTTCCAAAAATCATTAGTGACAAAAAATAAATAATTTGTGCAAACACTTACTAATCCCTTTGTCTTTTGAAGCAATCTTCTCTATATCCTTCAACTGGAATACATCTTTCTGCATAAAACATAAAAGACACTTCAGCTCCAAACGAAAGCTCTGCTCAGCCCATGCAGCTTTTACACTACATTAATGCCAACAAAAGCAATTAGGAAAACTCTGTATGTTTATATTTTGCTGGAGAAATATGCTGTATATCTCTCAGTAGAATTAGAACACTCTGAGAAATGAGAAAAAGGACTATTATCTCAAGGACACCAAAGAAAAGAGCAGTGCTTCTGACTATAACATCACAGAATTTTGTCTAAAGTTAGAGTGAAAACCCTTTGGGCACACTGTGCCAAGGTTAAGCTGCCAGTGCTGGATGCACTGCTTTGCTCAAATACTCAAGGGCCACAATAAATATTGTAATAGGTGAGACACTGTGTTTTATGCACATCAACAGTATATCCGTAGCTCTGCTTTTGGATCTCCAGGTTTCCTCCCTCCATCTGTGCTTTTTAATGAAAATGCTGGGATTTCTCCCACCTTTGAAACTTCGTGTAACAGACTCGGCACACAAAGATGTGGCTCCAAGAAGAAGGATCACACTGAGAAGCTTCACACCTCCATCAAGGAGCCACCTGAGCTGATGCTGCATGAAACCAGTGCTGTAATTTATAAAGTGGTGACACAGGGCATGGAGGAGAAGCATAGCTGGAGCTGCGCAGTGCCTCTACAACAACGCCCTCATAGGACCAGTCTTCCCACCAAGCATAAACTCAGGGCAACTCTCAGCAAGACACTTACTGTCTCAAAAAAGATCTCCATCATGCGAGCTCTCTTCTCCTCAAAGCTCAGTCCTTTTTTCTTGGACTAGAACAAGAGAAAAACAAACAAACATATTCTATCGCTTGCAGAATAACGCTTGCTGGGAATTCCTCCCCCACCAGCTCTAAGTTAGCTGTGCCCCCTTACAGAGCCTTACTGCCAAGCCCGGCTCCCACAGGGCTGGCTGCACCCAGCCACAGCCGCTGCAGCGCAGCGAGCCCGAGTTCCCAGCCTGCACCTTCATCGCACCTAACCCAGCTCCAGTCCCAGTTTCTGGGCTTATCCAGCCGACTGCCTTGCCTTACTGGCTTAGAAGCACGTCCGGATCCCTATTCTCAGCAACAGTATTTAGAACCAGTCTTAGATTTCGTGTTCTAGATACACTGCTGGGAAAGGCGGTGAAGCACCTTCACTCGTACAGCTTTCTAAAGCTCATGGCGCTGCGCGCGCCGGCTCAACAGGAAACCAGCAGCGCCGCGCGGAGCACCGCCGCATTCTCCGCCGTAATGGCCGCCGGGCCCGGGCGCGGGTCCGCTCCTGCGAGCTCGTGCCCGGCCCTCTCTACCGGCCGCGCTAATAGAGCGCAGGGGAGAGCGCCCGACCCCACCGCCGCCCCGCTTACCATCGTGGCCTCCAGGGCGGGTTTGATTTCGGCGCCACAAGGAGGAGAAAGGCCGCCTGCGCGGCTCCGGCGCCACCTGGCGTCACCGGGGAGCGAGCGGCCGGCGGCCGGCGGCGTGTTGGCGGGGAAATGGGCCTCCGGACGCCGGGCTCTGCTGCCCGCTGCCCAGCGGGGCTGCACGTCTCTGCTCAGCGTTGTGGTGGGGCCTATCCACCTTTCGGACACTCTCATTATATTTGATCTATTTGCTTGAGTTCTAATTATATTGTATTATGGTGTGCTGTCTTGCATTCCAATACCATATTTAGTAAGCTAGTTTGTTTCTCCTCAGATTGTTGCTGCTGTTTTTCGTTATTTCAGGGTCCCCTGTCCCCCTTTTCTGGAGGCATGGATTTTGCAAAATTCCTCACGGAACCGGGCCAAACCAGCCCATAAAATTCTTGGTGGAGAATGCAGGCAAAAGCTGCTTTTTAGCTTTTTAGAATGAATCTCTCTGTGCAGTCGGAGAGCTTCGTTGGGAAAGTTTATCTCTTTCACAGGTGCTCACTGAAAACTTGACCTTAAAAGTCCAGGCAGACTGCCAACATTCTGGGATATTTGTAATCTTTGAATACTGCTATTTTGCTTCTGTAAAGAGAAAAAAAAAAAAGACACTGCTTTCTCTTTTAAACGTGTTTGCAGAGAGAGCTGCTGATTTTACAGACCTTGTGATTTTTAAGCAGGCTCACAGTCTCTCCTTTGAATCCTTTATCATTTTTTGAATGCTCATCTGATCACATTATTAATCTCCCTGAATGTACTGCTCATCATTTCACTCAGTATTTGTATTTATCATATTCTGAGAAAGCCTTCGCCAGAACCAGAGAATACTGAGTGGCAGGGAGTGTGGAGAGGCTTGGGAGAGTCTTCAGAGAGATGGACATCCTCAATATAATGGAACTTTACTCCTGAACGCCTGAAAGACTCTGAGAGCTTAAACAGATATTTGAGACAGGAATGCTGTGGCTCAGGCAGGTCTGAGGAGGCACAAATGATTTGGGGCCTGGCTAATGCTTATCAGGCCTTGTTCAATACTGTCCCACAGACAAAGAGAGTTTCTGAAAATGAGGGAGAGAGTCTCCAAGCTGAAAAGAAGAGTTTCCAGGAGAGACTCTGAGCCGAGAGGAAGAATCTCCAGGCTGAGGGAGAGAGTCTCCCAGTCAAGAGAAAATACCTCCAATCTGAGAGAGATACGAGAGATGCCCTCTGAATCAAGAGAGACTCCCTACAATCCAGACTTCGCAACCTTCGATTTCAACAAGACACCCTCTAGTCCAAACAAGATGCCCTCCGGTCCGAGAGGGACATCCTCAAGTCCAAATGGGACGTACTCTGAACTGAGTGAGATGCTTTCCAGCACGCAAAATTTGGTCTCCAAATGGAACTGAACAGAATTCAATCTCATCAAGCCATGCTTGAATCTGAACTAAATATCCTCATAATCAAACAAGATAGACTCCCAGCCGAGCTGGAGGGTGAGAACATCAGAACTGACCAACCTGATCAACCACAGGAGGCACCAGAATCAATGTCAGTTGCCCCTGTAAGAGGACAGAAAATGAAACTAAACTCAGAACAGAAGAAAGAGGAGGAGGCTAAAGTAGAGGAAGTCACAGTAAGAGAAGAGGAGGAAAGAGTTCCAGAGGAGTGGCTCAGAGATCCAGAAGAAGCGCTCCTGAATCCAGGGGAAGGGCCCTCAACAAGACTGCGGTCACCAACTCCTACAAGGGCAACAAGAAGTCCTGAAAGAGTGAGAGGTGAGCAAGATATCGTTACCATTGTTGATTGAAAATGAAAATGAATGAAATTCAAAGTCTGAGAAAAAACTTCTCATATCACCCAAATGAACCTATTGTCACCTGGTTACTTCAATGTTGGGATAATGGGGCCAACAGTGTGTGGCTAGATAGTAGAGAAGCTTGCCAACTGGGTGGCATTGCTAGGGACTCAGTTGTTGCCAGAGGTATTAGTACATGCCAGAATGGGTCCTTCACCCTCTGGAAGCAGATGTTGTTAATTACAAGACAAATCAACCACCAAGGTGAACTTTTCCAAAAAGGTGATTGCTCCACTTGCTGCGGACAACCGCGGTAACAAATAGAGGGTCCCTGCCCCCAGCCAGGGGGGAGGAAAGGGATAATAGAGTGGACTGTGTGGATTAGATGGCCTGGCACATCAGAACCACAGAAATATAAGGCCCTGGTGGATACTGGTGCACAGTGCACTCTAATGCCCTCGAGTCACCAAGAGACAAAATAAGTTTGTATTCATGGGGTGACTGGGGATTCCCAAAAGTTGACTACGTTGGAGGACAAAATAAACCTCACTGGTAAAGACTGGCAAAGCACCCTATTGCGACTGGCCCACGGGCTCTGTGTAAACTTAGTATTGATTACCTCAGAAGGGGATATTTCAAGGATCCCAAAGTGTATTGATGGCTTTTGGAATAGCTGCTGTAGATACAGAAGGTGTTAAGCAGCTGTCTGTGGCCGTCATCACACCCCAACAGATGTGATCGACAAAATCACTGCCATGTCTCTGCCCACTAATAAGAAAGAGATACAATCTTTTCTGGGCGTAGTGGGTTTTTGGAGAATGCATGTTCCAAACTACAGCCTCATTGTAAGCCCCCTTTATCAGGTGACACAGAAGAAGAATGATTCTGTGTGGGGCCCAGAGCAGCAGCGGAATTGAAGTACCAGAGAAAGGCCAAAGAGGAAGTTGGCCATACTGCACAGGTTTCCAGGTAGAGAGCAGCATTCTCTACTCTCGGCTTGCCTGCATGTTTGATTTTGCCCCACGGCAGAGAATCTTTGGTGTAATAATCCAGGGGACAGAAGACATTTCTGATCAGTCAGTGAGAACTCACATTAATTTATCGAAGAATCCAGGATTAGAGAGCTCACCAGTGACAAAGAAAATACGTTTACTATCTAAAAAGAAAGCATGAATTCAAGTCTTGCTTTTTCAGAAAAAGAGTGGGAGTGAACTAAGTCCTATTTTGTGTTCTACAACAACTGACGTTTGGTTTTCTGAAGCAGACCCTGGGACGGTTGTAGCACCGCATAGCTGAAAGGCACTATGTACTTCCATGATAAAAGTGGAAGAGATTACTTCTCATAATCTTACCATCATCTATGAAAATATTCATTTTGATTATTGAACTTCAAAAGAACATGGAGGACAAGTAAGCCCATCTCTCCACCTTCTTCCCAAGAAGGACCAGGTCCCTCTTTCCTTTTTACATAGAAGCTAACCACCCATGAAGCAATTGCAGGGTTCTTTTTGGCTTGTGACCTATGCTGTACTAACTTAGTTTCCATCTTGCTGCATTATGGAGATATTTTCAGGGACAGAGAGTACGAAACACGTGAAAAATAAATTCTCAAAAATAACAGAGGAAACAAGCTTTATTATCATTTGAAATTTGTGCGTGGTAAAGGTACATATTTGATTGATTTTCCTACATTTCCAAGACAGAGTACTTTTTATTTTTATCATCGGCTAAAGCATTAAGAATGCCGTGGCACACAGGAAGCTAAAACTATGCACACACATACACACACACAAACACTTTGATGTGCATCTTTCATACTCGGTGTTAAAGAGACAAAGTTGTATTTAGCCTCACAGGGATTTAAAAAGAAAGCAAAACAATGAAACAAAGACAAGTGAGAATAATATTTCATCATGAGTTTCAAGAGAGTGCAAGACTTACGTGTACACAAAACATATGAAACAGACTTAAAAAGGTGGAATGTACAAAAAAACTTTTAAAAATGAAGAGGAAAGATAGAGTCTTGGAACCGGAAAGCTGCAGTGTATCAACTGGTAGAAATTTCTAATGTGGGGATACTGCCATATGCTGTGCAGCCTGGGGAACATTCCCATGTCATAAAGCCAAAGCAAAAAGTGTCAAGGTTAAGGCCGTGTTGCTCACAGACATCAACCGAAGTGCTGTACATTCATCAGAAAGAACACAACCAGTGAGGAACCTTCCTACCCCATAGCACAAATACCTTTCTCATACTCTCCACCAACAGTCCAAAGCAATCACTGCTCACAGTTATTCAAGAAAATTGCCAATGTACATCATGATTTTATAACTAGCTGTCACCCACAGCTGGAAGTCATTTCTTCATAACAAACACAACATATTGGGCACTTACAGTCCTCATTATAGCAACAACAGATCCTTAACTGTAAAAAAAAACTGGTCTAAAATTGAAAACCCTCTAGCTTTTAAGAACCAGAAGAGCATTTACTAATAAATAACTCTCCATCTACATTAGACAAATGCTTTGCCTCAAGCCATTTTCCTTTTCTTACACAGCCACATTGCTGCTATTCTTACATTATACCAACGTAAGAACCCCCTATTCGTAGTGGATTTATGTGAACATATTCCTTTATTCTGGTCACAAAATAATAAAAATACAGTTAGCTAGTTTGTCCTAAAATACTCCAAATTACATAAGAACCGGTAACCTTTTGAGATTACTTTTGAGTTGAAAATTAGTTAAATGAAGCACATACTTTTGTCATTTGTGCTACACTTCTAGTCACAGCATTCCAGGGAAGTTGAAGCAACATTTCTGGTTATACCTGAAATCTGGCAGCAGAATGCCTATAAGCTTTTAATAAATGCTAACAACTCAGTAAATCAAGTAGTGCAGTTTTGATGTTCACCTAACTGAATGAGAAAAGAATCTGCCAGGTTTTTTTTAGAACAGAATTCCTGCTTTGGTTGTTCTTTGTAACATTGTAAGTCAAGCATTCTAGCTGAGCACACTGCCAAAGCAGTTTCCTGTGCCAAGAAGATAAGGTCAGCCTTTGGAAACAAAATACCCCGTGCCACAAATTGGCAGCATTTGTTATCTATCAGAAGGAAATCCACATAAGTGCCTTTTTTTCCAGGTGCCTTAAGGGTTGCTCTGCTCTTCCTTAAGGGAAGCCTCAATACAGACTATTCAATCTTAAGAAAGCATCCACATCACTCCTAATACATGGTAGCAAGGGAGTTGCATGCAGAATTCC